CAGTTACGTTTCTTTTCTGGATTGTAATTGAGAGCAAAGCAAATATGCTTCCTTCAGTAGAGATGACCAAAGGGAGGATGGGGAAATAGCCATTTGGAGAGTGTAAATTGTGCCCTTGGAACCTGTCTTGTGAGCTGTGATCACAGCTCTGAGATTGCTGGCTGTCTCTGATGGGACCATTCTCAACAAAGACCTGGACAGCTTTGCTCAGTTGTGACTAAAAAGAAGGTTTCAGGTTTGTTTCTTTGTTTGTTTTCTTCTTGCAGCTTTATAGCTCGTGCCTTTGTCACCATGACACTGACCTATGATAATACGTTATCTTGGAAGGCTTTTATGTTTATTAAAAATTATTATTTTTGCAGTTGAATGTTGTCAGTGTCAGCTAATTTATTTTGCTGAAAGTATCTTAGTCGAGTGAAATCACCCGTTTAAATCTCAAATAGCCATACATGGCTTGAGACTTGCCTGTCTGGCATCTCTGCCCAGCTAGTCCTGCCCTTCTGCCTCACATTTAAAATCAGCATAATTTCCAGCTCTCTCAAGGAGTGTTGGGAACATTCCTTCATGTGAATGAGGGGGAACAGCTGGTAAGCAAGCATGGGAGGCAACTCAAGAGGTGAGCTTCCCTGTTCAAAATACACCTTCCTTGTGCTGCAGCAAACTGGAGTAGATTGCACATTGTTGTTGGCACACTCAGTATTGGGTAGACTTCCTTTTGCTGTAGGCACAATTGTGGTTGCGTGGTTGACTGTATTCACACTAACAAATGAGTAAAATTTTGTTACGCATCTGTAATAGAAAGAAAGATTGATTTAGCAATCTTTGTAGATCTCACTTTCCCCAAGGCCTTCCTTAATTTACTGCCTCTGCTTTTAAAAAAATCTTGAAGATGTTAGGAACAAGAAGGAAGAAGAATGTCTTGGCTGGGACATGCGTTGTTTTGTTAAAAGACAAAAGGGGGATGGGAAACATTATAATCTTGGGAAAGTGTTGGCTTACTGTGAAATATTGTATCCTAGAAACAATGTGGAAAGTTAAAAAAATTCATTAGTTAAGTGTATCATTGTTTTTCTCATGGATGTGGCTTGGATTTCTGAGGTGAACAAACTGAGTAGGTCTATCTTCTGCTTTTCCTAGAACATATTTTATTTAGGATTCTGGAGAGCAGTTGTGTGACGCAGGAGTCTAATGATGCGGCCCTGTTGTAGGTCATTCATTTGTGATAAACACTTCATGTGGCCACTGTCGTCTTCACTTCCCATATTGGTCCTCTTCAACCAGATTTTTTGTACAGAGGATATTAATTGCTGACATTCCAGTTATGTACCTTCCCCCGTGCCCCCCTCCTTTGCAATCCTTTTTCTGGCTTCCTTTTTAATTCTGGTTCTCATCCTTTTTGTGAGGACTGTGGTGATATTGCAATCCCTGACATATTTTTCTTATCCTAGGTTTTTCGATAGATGCAACTACATCCTTTCTCACATGTGCTTCATGTTTTCTGCCTGTCGTTTCATGTTGCACACAAGTCCAGTCAGATGTAATTGTTTAACAAGAATATAGGTGCTAATACAAAGCTAGAAAGAAAGTGCTTACATTGCTGGAGGTATTTGCTAGAAAGCCTTCAAACAAGTTGCAGAAGATAGTGTGTTACTGCAGAATTCGCTGAAATAACTAAATCTTTAAAAAATTTTAAGGACTGATGAACTTGTCAAATTTTGTATGGCACAAGACTAGTACTCCACAATAGCAGGCACCTCTGCAACAAAAGAAGAGGGGTAACGAGGGAGAAATGTAGATACACATTTCCTAATTTTCTTCACATCTTTATCTAGTGTTTCAGTGCTCTCTCCTTCCCTTCCGGAATCAAACTTTTGAATTGTGTACATTAGTTCTGTTGTTTCATGTCTTTCCAGCAAGAAACATTATGATAACAATTTTTTTTTTGCTAATGATTTGTTAGCAAGATTAGACATCTGTTAGAAATGTTAAGAGGCCAGAGGCCAAACACATTATTTTCTTTCAAAACTGCAACGAACATTTGCCAGTATATGTAAAAACTCCTTGTTCAACCTTCTATAATTTTTAGAGCAACCTTCAATCATTTTAGAATATTTGATTTAGTATTACAATTCAGGGTTATATTCCTTTGCAGAATAATATATGGAGGGCAAGCTCGCAGAGCTCAAAGTTAGGAAAACAATCTTTTACTGGTAAACTGAGCAAATTTATTTTTAAAGACAAACAGAATTGCTGATGCAATCTTACTGTCCCTTTCAGACAAGTCTTGTTTCACATGAAGTCCTAAGGCATCAAAGCTGGATAGAGTTGGGCTAAATTTGTTCTGATGTTTTCATGTTTGTGGTTAAGGGGCAAATAATGTCTGAGTCTTGGATGTCTGTATGTTGCCTTTTTTTTTTTTTTTTTTTCTTTTTTTTCTATGGGACAGTGGAAAAGGGTAAGAACTGGCTTTCATTGAGAAGGCTCTGTAGAGGGTGACGTATTTAAGGTGAGCTGTTTAATTCTAGAAAGATGCAGTTTAGGTTTGATTAATGGATTCATAATTCCACGCTAAATAAAATAAGTATCTTTGACCATAGAAAAAATAACAAAACTCCTGAAGCATTATGTTACTTTCTCTCTCTCTTTCTCTCTCTCTTTCTCTCTTTCTATCATCTGCATATTTACATATAGATGTTTGGATTTTTTATTAGTAAAACATAAAATAAAAGGCATTGTTTGGTCTCAAATGTTTTTCTTCATTTTAATTCGTATCCAAAACAAAAGGAAGCAATTTCATATTCATTGAGGATGAAATGAAAGAAAAAGAAACAGTCGTGCCTTAAGTTGGGCAACAAAATGAAAAAACTGTTATTTTAATACATGTATGTCAGTGTGAAATTGCCAGGGAGGGACGGGAGTGTTGAGTTAGACAAGTGTTGTGGGCCCTAAATGAAGTTTTTCTGATTTATTTGAAATAGCTAAATACCATATTGTAATCTTTCTGTCATTTTTTTAGGTGTGATTATTAACCATTTATGATGTTTTTGCAAGTGTCTATGGTATTTCTTAGACAGAAAATACATCATTTTAATTGCTTGTTAATGTTTAACAAATATTACAGAAAATTTATTTTCTGATAGCCAATTCACAGTTTATCCTTTATATGTTACCACATACTTGGAAAATTTTATGTAATTGGATGCATAAAATAGGTTTTTTAGGATTTATAAACACCCCCACCAAAGACATACAGTTGTAAACTGCAGTCTGTTCATAGAGTTTCTCCAGGATATGCACAATCGGCTAGAAGTGACACTAATTTTGAAACAAATAGTATGGCTAAATGTAGGTTATTACATTCTATCTCCAAATACTGTAAGAAGCAATTACTTGGTGTTTGAAATCCTCCTTCAGTTGTTGAAGTGTCATTTGTGGAGGGAATTACTTATGTGACTCCTCACAAAACTGCACACCAAAATAAGCTTGCAATTATTATTAATGTCATCACACAAAGATTCTCTAGCTTTTGGTCCCGATTTAGAACGCATATTTGAAATGGTAAACAACATTAATTACTTTACTAGCTTGGGTCTTTTGTATACAAAATAGCCCATAAAAAGAGCCTTAGTAAGGTGCATAGTCAAAAATTAGAAGATACAGTAACTGAGGATCCCTGTGCAAGCTTAATTCATACTGTGTGTTTGCATTTCGTGATCACATCCTCCTTTTTTACTCTATAGAACTGTGTCTCTTTTAATGTATAGATTGGATAGTAATTATTAAGCAGCTCCTCAGTATTTTGTCCTCTTAGCATTTAGAGTGTGATTCAAGATCTGACTTACTAAATGCAGTTCACACCCTCCTCTGAAAATATATACTTCTATGCATATTTTTCTATTTTGCTCATCACTATAGTAAATAAAGGACTTTAAGGTCACTAATATGTCTTCTTCCCCTCTGTACGAGGAAGGGCATGTTTTAATCCTTGTCTTACAGATAGGAAGCAGAGATACAGTTGCGTAGGCAACCTTTAATTCTTGAACACTTTATTTTACAACTATGAATTACTTTTATGTTAGGAAAAGAGGGCAAATGAGAAGTGTAATTTCCTAGGTGTTAGAAAAGGGGTCAACCTGTCTCAAATTCCTTCATCATTGTTTCTGTCTTTTTCCATTTCTTCCATTTTCCCTTCCGTTGTATGAAAGGCATCTCGGTATCTTGGCTGAGACCTTTGTTTTTGGTTGGGAAGTTGGAAAGCTTGATTTTACAAAAGTGCTAAAATTTAATTTGATGTTCCTCCCTTTTTAATAGAATTTTTAGGAATTTTACTAAAGAGTGACTTAATAAATAGAAGTCAGCTCTAGACAAGAACAAAATATTAACTTGAAAGTAATTTTTTCCTTTCTCTAGGATTATCAGCAAAATAGAAATAATTAGAAGTAAACATATATCATTCCCAAAATTGAATTTTATTGCAGCTAAATATAACACAAACCTCAGAATATCTGAGCTTTGTTCTGCTATATAAGCCATGAATTTTGGCAGCGATTAAATTTAGCAAAAGTAAATTCTTCCAATTCTTCTTTTAAGTCCTTTCCAAAGTATGTATATTGTATTTTGGTATTTTTTGTAACTATAAGCTTGCTTAATGGAGCATTGAGAACTGTCCTAAAATGTATTTTTATCTTAACCAGGCCTACCTTTATTCAGTGCTAGTGGGAGTTTTCCAAGAGCAATGATGCTATGTAAATGTGGACTGTATAATTCAACTTATGAAAAAGTCAAATTCTGCCTTCAGGCTTTTATTATGAAAGCCAATTCTGAAACATGTACGACCTTTTTAAAAGGCTGTAGAAATATTTAGCTTCTGTACCTGCTAAAAATGCAGAATTTTCTGTTTAATGAGGAATAGCAGCAGAGTATACAAAATGTTACAAAGAAATGTTTATCCCATCTTGAAATAAGCAAATTTTCTAATGTTTTATTTGTTTGACAAACAGGTACACACAAAGTTCCACTGCAGGCAAGCCCATGCTCCAGGCACTGACACTTCATGCTTGACATTTTCCTATGATGGTATTGTCCTTGCCAGCCGGGGAGGTAGGTGATTGAAAGAACCCTTTGATGTGTTGAATGTAAGATAATTTTAACTTTACAAAGTGAAATAGTTCAGTAAACAAACCATTTAAATCATAGCATCGTTAAATGTAATTGTTTATGATGGAGGTAAGATAGTGAAATCAGATACTAGTGATTTAAATCTGAAGTGTTTCACAATTTACATGTCTTATGTTGATACACTATGCAATACCGTGTTACTAAAAGCACATTTTACAGCAGTTAAGGAACGTTTTAAAAGAACTTTACTGTTTATATTACATAGTTCTTGATCTGTCTTCTTCTCTAGTATTAATACTACACCAAAAGGAAATCATTAGCTTAATTAAAAATAAAACGAGACCAGTTTGTTACTTAGTTCTTCCGGGGAAGATTACTGCCTCTCAATAACAGTATCTCTATTTTGGCATTATTAATTCCTCAAGTAGCTTTCTTATCCAATGCACTTTTCCATTCTAATTGGATTTTTTATCTAATTTATATACAAAGATCAAGAGGTGATGACTGGAAATGAGTGGCCAAGATGTACTTGAATGGCAAAAAATTTTAAAATGTCTACAGGACAGGGAAAAAATGCTTGTTTTTTAAATTTCAGGTAAAACTTATATAAAGAAGTATTAGATAACAGAACAATTCTTGAGAAGGCAAAGACCTATTTAAAAACTCATTCACTCCAATATTAGATGTATTGGATATGATGGTGTCTGCCTAAGACAGCTTTTCACACAGAGATTTGTCTACCCAGTATTTTGCAGGCAGGTGCAAGCACACAATCCAAGCTGTCTGGATGGAAACCAGCTGTAACCAGAAGCTATGTGTATGCATTAGCATGGCCCCAAGGCCAAATCAACAGGCCTAAGGAGAGGCAGTATTTGTTAATGTCGGCTAACATTGTGCCTAACATATGTACAGGACATCTGGTCAGTTTGGTATGTAGACAGAATGAGATTACATATACAAAATACCAGAATAGAGGTATTCATAGATCGCAAAAGCTCTGAAGCAGGGGATGTGCTTCCAAGCCAAGGGCTGTAGCTTGCAATTGCTTTCTATCCTCCCCTTGTCCCTGATGAGTAGAGTGGCATTGGTGGCTTTTACAGCGATATGCAGCTGCAATTCGATGCTACCTCTCTGACTTTGTATGTCTTGCCACATTTCTAAGATTCCAAACATTATGTTCCCCAGATCACATCTTGCAGAGTAAGATGATGGCAGTATTGTCCTCGACAGCCCTGGGCTTACTAGGGCACACTAATGGGACACGGATTGTTTCTTAATTGCTGTTCAGGCTCCAGGATCCAGAGTTCTACTGCCACTGTCCTCATCATGAACCAGTCCTAAGTGGTTGAGGTAAAAACTCAACCTTACTGGTCCTTATTGAACCAGCACTATGCGAGAACCTTCTCCTCCTTGGAAAGTACATGAACCATCTGTCTTTCTGTTCTGAGTGAACTGAAATGCTGCATCTGTCTGCCAGTGGTGTTGCCCCTGAAAAATTCACACAGACATACTTTAAAAGATTTAAAGAGAAGCTTCAGTGTGCTTTTAAATATTAACAGCAAACAAGGCTAATACTTATGTGAGAAATGTTCACTAGTGCTGTCTTGAAACCTCCATTCATGCAAATTCTCTTATGTTTCACATTTTTTGAATGTAGATCACATAAATGACCTTTGCTTATTTTTATTGCATGTGGCACTTTTGGTTGCCTGCTCTTCCTCATCTGTCTCTGGATTTTGTGTCGTGTTAAACAGACTTTCACTTACTTATGTTTTATCTACCACACTATTCTAAGCTATATAAAATGTTGATTGATTGTTTGCAGAATGTAAGACTGTATGGAAATTTGGCCCCTCAGTGTGGATAAAAGTGCTACTTTTGTCTAGTGTATTAAAAAAAAAAAAGTCCATGTGCGCTATGCTAGAGAATAAGGAGGATTCATTTTGACTTGTTTGGTTAGTGCTTTAATATGAGTGCTTTGGATCTGTACCAACAAAAGCAGATGTGGATCCAGCATTCATAGATTAACACACCTGCCAAGTGCTGAGGATCAAAGAGGGGATAGTTGTTTGGGGAATGGGGACTTTCATTGAAAGCCTCATTGACTCTCCTGCATCTGATGTAGATTCTGTGTTGGATATGAGAGAGATGAGGCAGGACTCAGCTGCAAGCACAAGGGAAAATGAAAAGCTAAGGGGCTGCTATGAGAGTTCCCAGTCTTACTCTTCTTGGGTATTAGGTAGTAACTTGACAGAAACTTAAGAAAGTGTTATTTTTGCACACTTGTAACCATGAAAGTATTTTTTGTAAATACAGTGAAGATAGTATTTGGGGAATATTTTCTTTGTTTAGCAGTGAAGAGGTAAGCATTAGGAATGGACTTGGGGTCCTGTTCTAAAAATGAAAAAAAACCCAACTGTTTTTGACTTCTGGAATGTACAGGATTTATGGGGTTAGATTTTGTCATAATATGAAGCAATGGCTTCATTAATTCCATGAATCTCATAATAGCTATTAGTTTGATGGTTCATTTATTTTCTGTGATATGAACAGTGTGCAGACTCAGTGCCATCTTAATCAGTAAACTTATAAAGATAGATAAGTTCGCTGTAGTTAAACACAAGAAAAAATATTCACATCTAAGCCTATAAGCTTGTGGAGATACATGCTTTCTTTGGAGCTCAAAAATTATTTTTTGTGTTTCCATTTGATGTTTTGTTTTGGGGTTTTTTTTGTTTGTTTGTTTAAGCTGTATTTCTCTTTTCACTATGTTCTTTAGGAACAATAGAACATTTAATTTTGAAGTTGGTTTAAAAAGTAGAAACACCTTGAGTACAGTTTCCTGTATACTCAAGGATTATGCAGCAGCATGTATAGTGTTTTTCTGTTTTGTGTAGAGTAATAATATATTGTTCTTTATGGTAAATACAAACATTAGCACTTTAAAAATCAAGTGGGTTTACATCAAGTAATATTTCTCAGGAGCCGAACACTGATGTTCATTTCAAACAATGCCAAAAATGCATTCATTAGCTTTAATGGCTGTAGTCAACTATTTGTAACAGTTGGAGTTGAAATTACGTTCTCAAAATCTTCCAGTATCCTTTATTTCCATATGTTTAGAGAGAATGATACACTTAAATATTTGGCCAGGCTGGTATGGATGCAGGTGACAGTGAGAGCTGTTCCAAGTGTAAGTGCAGAATCCCCAATTTGTGACTTCCCTCCCAAGGCCTTTGGCCTGGGGTGAGTATGGTCCCGACCTGTGCTCCCTGCAGAGGTTGTTCTTTAGCTGTTGCAGCGCCTCTTGCAGAACCAGTGCAGAATGCAGAAGAGTATACCTTGTACTGTAAGGTGCCTCTCCTCACATCTATGGTTATAAGCCTTCACAGAAAGGTTCAGAGTTTATAAACATCATATATTCTAGTGCTCCCTCACAGTGAGCCTTGTTATGCTATGCCTTTCCTATGCTGTATTTTCTTTTTTAAATTCTTATTTCCTATGTTTCTTTGCTTTCCCCAATGGTCTTTGTGAACTTCTGTCCTTGAGCTTTGCTTTCAAGACAGGATTCCCCCTTTAAAATAGGAGCTTCTTGAAGGGTGTTGCTGACTTCAGGCTTTTTGAGTTTCTGGCAGCACTTTTGCTTCCTTTGGGCCCATTTGCATCCATGTACTGGTCTTCCTGGTCAGTATCTTCTGAAATGAAAACAATAAAAGCAGATAAAATCTTTGTAGTATCAGTGCATTGGCCTTATTTTGCCATTTGCAAAATGCCTGTCCTGGCTCATCAAAGACTATTTTTCTAGGACCTAATTGTTACCTTTTGATAAATCCAATGCTCAATACCATTGGCGTAATGGTGTCTGACCTGATCATGTCAGACTAGACCCTGTTTATTGATATCCTTCTTATTAAAATGGCAAAGAATAGGGTTTGAAATGCTACTAAAATACTATAAGAGCTTTAAATAATCTTGCCAGGCTTGGGAGAAGTTTGCCATCAAGAAAAATACTGAATGATCCAATTTTTTTATTGAATGCTTCATAATGAAGTGCACAACTTTTGTTTGTATGTTTTTTGTTTAAGGGTAACGTTTTGTCCATGTATGAAGTAATTAAAAATAGATTAGCACTACTACAGCTCTTGTAAAGCACTGATAGAAGGAGGATGCTACTGGAAAAAATCCTTGTTGTTGTGGAAAGTTAATATGTCTGCTTTCATAGTGACAGTGATTTCAACTCCAATTGCAGATTAGATTCAGGAACCAATATCGCATTTACAACACAGAAAATTGTAATTCGAAAAAGTGAATTTGCGCAAATTCCTAATGTGAGGGTAAGAGTTTCACAGCATTGGCCCAAGTCATTCTACTAGCATATCTCCTCTTCTAAATACTTAATCACCTATTCTGCAGTGTAAGACAGTATTGATTTGAAAACAAACCATGACTTTTTGGGTCCGTCTAGAGTCTTCTAATTTTTTAAACCAGCAGATTACGTTTTCTTGTTACCAGAAGAGCTATAGTGAAATTTCTGACTGCATGGCTTCTGCTAAAACCTGGCAGGACTACAGCTTGAAGATCATGTCAAGGCTCATTCCACTGGGAACAGAGCAGCCTTGGCTGCTAGCCTTAGAGCTGTCCCTATCCAGGAGATTTGCAGAGTGGCCAAATGGTATCCTTTGCATACATTTATAAAGTGCTGGTGCTTTAGATGTAACATCTCACCAATAAGTGTTTTTTTGTTGGGGGTGGGAGGGAAAAGGGAGTGTGCATATTACAAGACCAAATACTTTGAAGTGCTTGGGATGTAGTCTACTGGGAAACAATAGGAAAATAGATATTCTCAAAGTAGGGACTCAACATTTTTCTTTCTTGTCATTTTTTAGCTTCCCAATGAACAGAAATATACTCTGCTCTAGACATCATTTATTTAAGTTGTCCACTTCTTAAAAATATTTTGTAGTAAGGAGTTATCCTAGTCTTTAATATAAACATACATGATGTACGAGGCCACACATTACTGCTTTCCCTGTAAAGGGTACTGCTGGCCTTGATTTCTTTTGTTACAGCACGTTACTTTTTGTTTTTTTAAAACATTTTATTTCCAAGGCCTCCTTTAAGCTCTTGATCTCAAAGACTGTGAATGCACAAAATACTTTTAGACAGCAAAATTACTTCCCTGCAAGGTTTGTGCTTTGGAAGGAAGCAAGTCTATGGATTACCAGTCTCTTGCCTCCTTTTCCTCCTAGGTCAGGAAGATTTTGTAACCTGTTGTCTAAAACTAATCTCTGGATATTTTTGAAGAGAACTGTTGTTTGACAGTGCTTCTTTTCACCCTTGAAAGCACTGAGGCACTGATGTCAAATGCAAGGAGACATCTAGGTGCCTGAGTGAGGTGCTTCAAAACTCAAATTCTGTAACTCGTATCATGCTGGAAAGATGTATCCCAGAGGGATGATCAGTAGAGATGTAGATCTCTCTGAGAGTAACTAACTAATCTCTTTTTTTCCCTTGTTCTTACTTTGTTAATATGTCATAACTTTTCGAAAAGGAATAAACAGCCTGACTTTTACTGGCCTACAGTCACACCATGTTTATGAAACACAGATGAGAATTTCTGTAACCTCGATTTTGGCTTTTATGGCCAAAGGTGGTGTGGAGGGGTGTGAAAGGGTTTTGTTATAGCAAGCGTGGTTTCATTTGCTTCCCTTCTCCCCCTTACCCACAGACTTCTGACTGATTCCAGGGCCTGTTTTCTGTACTGAAATTGCAGTTTGTTGCTGTTTGCCTGCTAAAGAAGGGGGAAGACTTCATGTGCCTTCCATTCTTCCTGATCATTTTTTTCAGGGCTGGTAGAAACCAGACACATAAAACTTGTTTAGTTTTTGGTCTAGACCGTCTATGGTAACTTTTTAATTTCTTTTGATATCTTAAAAGTTAAATTCACTCCCAGTAGTAACACACTGACACAAATTAGAATAAATTAGCATATGGGGAATCTTATTCCACTGTGAATAATGGTTCTTAGTAGGAGGGATTGTCATGATGGAGTTGAGCCACTGAGGACAAGTTTCTGTCTACTGGAGTGCAGCAAGTGGAACTTCTCATCCTTGCACTTTCATACTCATTTAGGGACAAAAAACTTCCAAACCATCCCCATTTTGAATGCTTCTACCATATAATTCTGTTATTTTTGTGTATGAATTAGAGGCTGAAATTTTCTTCGTGTGTCTAAATTCTTCACTTAAATTCTTCATTGCTAATCTTTGTCCCTTTTGTTTTATAGGAGATGATACTTTAAAGCTATGGGATATTAGACAATTTAAAAAGCCTCTTAATTCAGCGGAAAGACTGCCCAGCTTCTTTCCAATGTAAGTACTCTAATTTATTCCAGCTAGTAGAAGTAGCAGCATTTGTGCTGAATGGGAGGGAGTCTACCAGAGTTCTCCCTCTCAGTTTTCAACAGGTCCAGAACTGTGCTGTCATGTTTTAACCCCAGCTGGTAACCAAGCATTATGCAGCTGCTCACTTGTCCCTCCCCACCCAAGGGGATGGGGAGGAGAAGGAAAAAATGTAATTCATGGTTTGAGGTAAAGACAGTTTAATAGGATAACAAAAGAAGAGAATAATAGTAGTAATAGTAGTAGTAGTAGTAATAATAATAGTAGTAATAATAATAATATATAAAACAAGTGATGCATAAAGCAGTTGCTCACCACATGCATAAGGGGAAAAAAAAAAAACCCTGATGCCCAGCCTGTTTCCGAGCAGCAATCCTGCCTCCCAGCTCGCTTCCCCAGTTACATACAAATCATGACGTTACATGATGGGGAATATCCCTCTGGCCAGTCTGGGTCAGCTGTCTTGGCTGTGCTCTCCCAGCTTCTTGTGATCTGGCAGGGTGTGGGAAGCTGAAAAGTCTTTTACTTAGTGTAGACACTGCAACTACCCAGCAACAACTAAAACATCAGTGTGTTATCAACAGTATTCTCATGCTAAATCCAAAACACAGCACTATACCTGCTACTAGAAAGAGAATTAACTCTTATCTCAGCTGAAACCAGTGACAGTGACAGAAAGGACTACATGGGGAGGACTGTGCAATGAGGATTCTTGGCTATTTTGGGACTTCACATTGCTTTAAAAGATCTCATATTTTTTGTGATAATTCATAGCTAGCTTTGGTTTATGCCATTTTTCAGTCTCATGTCTCATGTCTAATTAGATTAGCAGCTTTTCAGGAGGACGCCAGTTCGTTACCTTATGTTTGTGTAATGAGATATATAAGCAATCCTCATTCTTATTTCGTCTATGATTAATAAAAAAAGAGCTGGATTGAAAAGTAGACATAACATGAAGGTGCATGGTATGAATTCAGGTTATGATGTTGGAAGGGCTGATGACTGTTCTTTGGTACTAAAATACTATATTGTACTGTGTAGTGCTAAGTATTGTATTAATATTTTTATTGGTGTTACTTGCATTTCAATAGCTGTAGCACAGCCAAATCCAACTCTAAAGACAATTTCTACTTTTGAAATAAGATCTTAGAAAGGCAGGTCATGGACAGCTCAATCTTGACTACAATTTGTAGCATAGAGGAAAAATAAACAGACAAACATTTTTGGCCACTGTATAAACACACTACTTTGCATCATTGAAGAATGTTTCATCAGCAAAACCAGATTTCATGATTGATTAATTTTTTTACTTAATGATGATAACCAGATTTGAAAATACTTTGTTTCTCATGTTGAAAAGTTTACAAGACTTTTGAGCGAAGGAAAATTTTGTTGGGAGGAAGATTGTTATTGGATCTGCCAGTTTTGCACATTCTGTGCACAGCTGTAATTGTACATGTGAACTGTGTGTGATAACTATAGTAATAGATGACAGTTGACAAAAGGGGTTTTCTAAAGCTTATTCTTGAAAAGATTAACAAATAGAAAAGATTATTTTGAAGGAGTGCAATTTATATGCACATTCCCTAAACATTAATTATTGATTTGCCCAGTATGATGGTTTGTTTTCTTCAACAGGACAGATTGTTGTTTCAGCCCGGATGATAAAATACTTGTCACAGGCACCTCTGTTAAGAAAGGTGGTGGCAGTGGGAAGCTTTTTTTCTTTTATCGGGAGACGTTCCAGAAGTTGTATGAGATAGAAGTTACAGATGCGGTATGTATTTTAGTTTTATTTTGTCAACTATTCATATGAATGAAATCATATTCATATACTTTTTTCCTCTTATACAGGTAATGACCTACCTACACTACTGTTGTTTTTCTCCTCCATATTTGAGAGCTAGAGGTAGAGCAATGTGAATAGGTGTTATCCTCCTCTCAATTAAAAAAAATAATAAAAGAAAATCTTGGGACAAAGTGTTTCAGCACTAGGGGGTCCCTGCTTTGATGTTGCCATTGTGTTTCTCAAGGATTTCTGTGAACCTTTCTGGATCTGTGAAGTGAGGCACAAATCCTAAAATCCGTATATGTTTATGCTGTTTACTCCACCAGTTATCGTGATGAAATGCCATATTGTGACAAAACTCCTGCTTGTCCCTGAAACTAGACTTGTGGTTCCTATAGAATGTATTTCAGTAGACTGTAGCTTGTATAAATGCAACAATTTCGTGGCAAAAAGAAGGCATCATTAGGAATCCGTCAAAAATACCATTCTCACCAGTAATATAAAACCCTAAAATTGTTTATCTGCAATACAGAAGAGTCTATGTATGTCTTGAACTGCCTATCTATTCCCTTGTACAGAAGGAAAAAGCTTATCATAGTTGAAAAGAGGTCCTTTTGCTCTTATGATGTACACAGGTAAGCTTATAAATTATAACAACCAGAACTGGGATAACTTCAAACAGAATTGCGTTTGCTTAAGTATGGCAAAGTATGCTGAAGTCCTATTAGTTGTTGCAGTCTGTCAGATAGCAACTTTGTTGCTTTATTTCAGGATATGGTTTTCTCCTTCTGCACTTTTCTTAACTCAGCACAGCAGTCTTTCCTAGCACAGTGAACCAAAACCCCTTGTGTTGGAGATAATTTATACAGAATTTACATTTCTATTAATTTTTCTTTTCAAATCCCATTTTCTCTTGTAATTCATCCTAAAGCAAAATCTGCTTACAGATGAATTTGTTATACCCATCATTTCTGTGGCAGCAATCTTGCAAATTAAAAATGCAGAATTCGTGTCAAAGCAGAAAGCATGTCTTAATTTCTGTAGGGGAAAAAGCCCCTCATTTTATTTTAAACATATATTCTAAATACAGGTTTTATGATAGTGGAAGTTTTATTTAGTACTAAAGAATTTCTCCAAAGTTAGCATAAATTTGATTTTAAATTTTTCTCTTGTGGAACATACCAAATCTCAACTTAACTCTTGAGGATTTCTAATGGATTTGTATTTTCTGATACAAGTATTATAACCAAGTATTTATGACCCTTTTCTGAGACAAAACATGAATGCCTCAGTATCCCTTCTGAAACTTCATGACAGAGAAAAGGAAAACAACTACATAAGATAAAGTGCAAGACATGGAATGTTGTAGGAGCTTTTCTGTCCTTTGGCACAGGAAAGAAAATAGCTTAGCAACTCCCTTCACAGTGAATTTGAATTCCTTAGAGCTAAGTGTCTGGATGTGGTCATGATGGCATCTCCATTTAGTGGTGGTGAAGTCAGTAACAGTATACAGAAACTTCAGCTGCACTGTAAGACTGCAAGAATGAGAAGCTTGTCAATGGTGGATCTGCTATCTCCAAAAGAAATTAGAGAGAGAATTACTGCTCACCAACCTAGCTGTTTTATGTTCAAAGGAAATACAATTTTCATTTGCTAACTTTGTCTCCCAGAAAAACAGTTCCTTAATTCTCTGAAATAGAGGGTCTGTTTGCCTGCTGAGGTAGATGATGCTACAGGGGAGTCCAGAAAAGATTGTTTTGCTCTCAGTTTCTCTCAGAATTGAGAGGTAAATTTGTTGTTCTGCTTCAAAATGCAAATGAGACGTAGAGCTGAGAGCCAACAGTAGGAAATTGTTGGAAAAACAAAATTAGGGGTCAGTAAGTGACTTCACTGGGGCCACTCATGTAATAACATTTTAAGTATGTGTACAAATCTCAGCAGGTTCATAATTTTATACTATAAAATCATATAGGTGCTGATATTTATATGGTACTTTTTAAGACTGTAGTAAATTACTTTTGTCCATAGAGTTTTAGTGCTGCTGTTTCTCTTCAGTTGTAATTATAAAGTTTAAGACTCTCATTCTCCTGCTTTGCATATAATGGATCAAGTGAAAAGAATGGAAATAATAGGTGAAGAATTGAGACTTACAAATGCTGATCTTATGACATAATTTTCAGTGAGTCAGCACTAATAATACTTCTACAAACAGTCTGTCTAGCTTCTAGCTTCAACACTACACATCTAAGAAAAACACAATTAAGCATATGGTATTATAAAATAAAATCAATATATTTTTTCAAGATCTTTCTATTGTTTGTATCTTTCAACTTTTTCATTAGTGTTCTTTTCTTGTTCTTCTCAAATTGCAGTGTTTGAAATATAAACGCATAAAGGCATGCTAAAACCAAATGAATTTTCAAGAAGCTGGCTTTTGTATTTTATAAGCAGTACATGCTGTTTTCTAGAAAGACCATTAGCCTATAAATTGGTAGATGAATGTCTTATGTGTAATTTATCAAAGCATTTTTTCAGTAGTGCAGTAATTACTTCCTATGGACTGCTTTCCTACTTCGCATTTTTTCCTTATACTCTCTCAAAAATGCAGATAGCATTTAGTGTAATTAAAGATAAACACATAATGTTGTCTAAGACTTCAGTTTGTCTTCTGTAACTAAATATCATACTACTTTACTTTTTGTATGTTATCTAGTACTTTAAGAAGTAATTTCAATGTTTCTATTTTTGTTTTTTTAAGCATTGCATAGATGAAGTTACACTATGCTAATATGTGTAGTAAAAGCACAAACATACCAATATCTATCTCTGCAAAGAGCTTGATCAACTCTCATTCCTCATGAAAATAATTTCAGTGATTTCAGTTGGATTTAGTCCAAATTGCTAAAGAAAAAGGGCATCATTAGTCATTTATTTCAAGTATAAAATGAAAATAACAAGACACTTTGAGGGCAATTGTATACCAGTTAAGTGGTAGAACTTATATAATCAGGATAACAGAAAATCTACAGTGAAAAGAAAACATAAACCATTAATGTGTTACTTTTTTAATTTCACAAGGATTTTTCTAAAAGAAGTGCTGGTAAACTTAGAAAATTGAAAAACATTAAAGAGCAATAAACATTATCTTAAACCTCCTTGGTAAATAGCCAGTGCAATTGGCCTGTGAATGAACCTAGGGGGTAATGGGAAAAATTTAATGGGAATGTTTGACCAGAGCAGTGTCTGACATTCCTTTCTATCATACCACACAAACCTTTTTTCACCTTTTCTTTCAAGTTTTCATGGGAAAACCCATTACTGTTTCAGAACTGCTGGAGTGAAACCTTGTGGTTTTACTAATGGACTAACAGTCTGATTAGTCTTTGCTGTTGTTGCTGGGTATAGAATATTGATTTGCTTTTCATTTCACATATTAGTCTCTTTTTTTTTTTTTGGTCACAATCTGTGGCTAAACTAGTGACTATATTGTTGTGTCCACTATTGAATGTTATCCCACCATGTAAGCATTGGGACTTCTGTAGAACTTAAGCTTCTTGGATAAATAGCAATACTTTTTGAAGAAAACTAAATAAATATCAGAAGTGGTGCAGACCATGGGTTCTGTCTGGCCAGTAGCAGTGTGCCGGCTGGAGGAGATGTGAACAGGGTGAATACACAATGATGTTTCTCCAACTGTATTGTTTTCCCTCTGGTGATCTATGACTTAGAGATATCTTGATGCAGACATAGGAATTTTACCAGTAGTAGCACTCAGTGGATTTTTTTTCCATGAGTTTAGCAAGGAGTGCAATTATAGGTGTTGCTGGTTACTGGCAGGGTCATTGACTTACTGCAGATTAGATCAAAACTTGTGGGTGTGAGCTTCTGCCTCTCCCACTCTCATATGGAAGCTTATGCTCTGCGTGCAGTACTTCAGCCTTACTCTGGCTCAGTGTATACACGTGTGATTGGAAATTATGATGGCTTTGTACTGTGACCATAGTTATGTATGCTACACTGTACAGAATTCCTCTCTTTTCAACCAGAATCAAACTTTTAAAATCCTGTTAGGCATATGCAGCTTTTTCATAGTTTTTCTGTCTCTGTTTCTTCTGTCTTGACACTATTATCTGTGAACGGTTCTTTTGCTCTCACCTCAAATATCAGAAGAAAATATTTATATTTATATTAAACTTTCTCAATTTGAGCATTTGAGGCTTATTTTATGTGAAAGATTTGGAATTGTATGCGGACTGTTTCTTCATTTAGATTGGTGAGGAGGCTTAAACAGATGTCAAGAAATATAACTGCCAGAAGAAATGTGCAAAAGTATATGCACCGAAACTCAGGTAGTGTAAGAGGAAGGAAAACCTGTAGCTGCTTTGGGATGAGGTCTCATTTTTTGGGATGTCTGTAAGTGCACTGTCTTTCTGGAATGGAAGGGAGATTTCATTTTCAGATGCAAGGCAGGGAGGGTTTATTCCTAATTCTTGGTTTGGTTATGCAAGTATGAGATCTTCATGGGAACCAGTTATAAATACCTGCTGTATGGGAAACAGAGTTGGGTACACAATATTTCCCCCAATGCCAATTTAATTTAAAATAGCTGTGGATAGCCACTCTTACATGTCTATCATTCATTTGGCTAGTTCAAACAGATCACCCAGTAGTTATCCTTACTACAGACAAGATTGATTTTGGCAGCAGTAGAGCAGTCATTTTCCACATATGGAAAGAAGCAGTACACGCCCGTTATTGCCAACTAAGAGTAGGCACTGAAAAAGAAAAAAAAAAAAAAAAAAAAGTTGTACAATTACAGAAATTCCTATTTTTAAGGAAAATGTAAGCAATAATTTAATTTAAAAATAAGCCAAGATGATACAATTTTGTACATTATAAAGGGAGATGTGCAAGTTTTAAAAATATCCCACAGGTTTTTATAGATAAGCAACAATCAAAAAACATAGATTTACGGTTGTTGTGGGAAA